TATGCATTAAAAATTCTTTATGACTGAAGAAAACAGATCGAACTGTTTTATAAACCTATCATTACTAAACGTTTATTGCTTCTAATATTGAACACAGCTTTTAATTACATATCTTAAAATTTTGATAGAGATCTTACGGCTGATACAACTTTAAACGGAAATAATATTTCCAGGAAAATAGTAATCTGGTCCTTCCAGAATAGATAATGAATGATTTATCAGTGTCATTTGATCAATCGTTTCTTTGTCTTATCGACAAAATTAAATTGATGAATTAATTTCGTAGTACTCTATCACAATTTCATTTAAACGTATAGACATTCGATGCCAATCTTTTCTCATTATGAGTTTAACAACGCGTAACAACATAATGCACTGAAATTACACTCGGTATTAATAGCTATTGTCGACACGTTGGAAAAAGTAAACGAAGGGGATAATAGGGCCACAATAGCGTAATTTCCGGTTCCGGGTAGCCCCGATCGAAGCGAAGAATCGAGCACGAGGCGCAGGGGATTAAAATAATGAACCAGGATAATTATTCTTAATTCAGTTCATAATTCGAATTACATAAACAATCGAACAGATCCAAACAAGTTTTTCGAGAAAGAATACATACATCATTGTCAGTCTAAAAACTGAATAGAAGAATAAGTCTTTTTGATTTATTAATGAATCGCTTGAATATCGCCGATCGTACAGTTTTATCCGTACGCACAGCAGGATTTGAGGAATCGGCGATAAAAGCCAACAGAGGATTCATTCATTTGTCCCAGCGTCCGGTTCCTCCGGTTCCTCAGCTTCAAAACCGGTGGAAACGGTTAATGTTTCCTGATCTTCCGGTAGTCAGCTATTCTAAACACTTCCCAAGAATCGTTAACTAAATTCCATCGCAACAACAAACAAACTTATGTAAATAATTATTATACTTGTCAGATATTTAATACTAGATTGCACGATGTTGGGTAGTTTGCCTGAAATGAGTCAATTTGACTGAAACATCAAAATTGAAGTTCTTTAAAGAAATAAAATTCTATTTTAAAGAAGCTTAATTCAAAACAATTTTTACATATGTATTCAGTTTCTAAAATACATTTTCCGCAGATTTTTCTATTACATTTAGCACAAGCGTCCTCACTTCTATTTATATTGCATGATGAACTTCGAGTCTTAAACAATGAATCACTCCGGCAATTTAATGTTGAATAAAAAACAGTGGAGATAATCAAACCAGCTCTGGGCTTGTATGAAAAATTTTTATTCCCGAAGGAGGAAGTGGGGAGAAAATAAATTATACAAGCATACAGGAGGTAGACAATGTCTGATTAAAGGTGCAGTTTTTGATGTCCAATTACTCTTGAATGTAGGAGGGGAGTCTGTTCTTGGCTCTTCCTTTTGCTTACTCGCGGGATCATTCGCCGAATCTTTACGATCCACGCTTCGGGGTACACGTTGCCAGATTGTAATCGCCACGGAACACGCCCTCGAATTAATCGCGATAAAATTAATAGGGTCCCACTTAGGAACGCGTGTACAGTGGCCACGAAAAGTATTACCAGCGTGTATTTATTCTGTCGAGCTGATTTTATTTCCTACCGCTTATCAGACGTTAACAGGGTTTCATGATTCACTCTTTAATGTCGTAACGGTGCTTAATGATAACACGCAGATGTTTTAAGCCACGTATGTTCGGAAATATTCATAGCTACGTGTACATTGTATTATGTTAATTCTTATCGTAAAATGTTATTAGATCGTACGTGTTACAAGTGTTAATATCTTTCACACTACGTTGCTAAAGAAGACTGTATGAAATTAAATGAAACAAGTACATGAAATCACCCTATTTTCATTTAACTTTTACTGTTTTTATTATTGTTATACTTTACTTTACTTTTATTATGTTAAATTATTACTGTTCGTTTGAAATGGCAATGCTGTACAGTTTTCGTGGCCACTGGAAGAGATGGGAATAGAAATACAATGAGCGCAGAAAAATGGAAATTTCGGCAGACACGTGCGTCGAACGGGAGATTTATTTGACGCGATGGAATAATTTACAACGTCGATCGTTTCAGATTATCCTTCCCCTCGGGACACTCGTCGTTCTCGGCTTACACAATGATTTACCTTGCGGTAAGTTCCTCCATACTCAATATTTATTATTACTGCTATTCCTTCAACCGACACATTCGATCAGAAATAAATGGAATATCTTCAAAAATATGGATTATTTCTTTTCTTCTTTTAGATGTACATTAAGGTTGTATGAACTCTTACATAAAAACAATGACAAAGCATTGAAATCTTAGAATTCACGGCTCATACAATCTTAAACCTAATCAATAAAAGGCATCGATAAAAATTCGTTTAATTTATAATTAAATACTATAAATTCACTATCGATTGAGTGAATCTACATTCGATTGGGACGATTATAAATCGATTTGGTCTTAATTTTGCAGATGTACTTACAGTTGAGGATGACGTGGAAGGGTAGTAGATTGTTGAAACATTTCCTGCAGCTCATGTGCCTGAGCATGGCATGGTTCACGGCGTTGTCGCGCGTGTCCGACTACAAACATCACTGGAGCGACGTTTTGGCCGGTTCTACCCTCGGTACCATCGTGGCTCTAGTCGTGGTGAGCATTATTCTCTCCGTAACTGTCCTATTGTGCGATCGTAAATCACCGCGCACTCATGAATATGAAATATGCGAGGAGTCACGACCTCTCCTTCTTTGGAAAGAAATACAGTGCACATAAATTCAAACCCGGACTTCCCTTTTCGAAAAAATGATCAAAACTTATGTGACATTAGTCCTTTAAATTCCTTTCTAGTATTTTTTAGTGTCAATTTAGGGCCAAATAATTTCTTCAATCATTTCTAAAAATGATTTTAACCATAGACCTTGGAATCAGTTTTTGAAGTTTGCCAACCGTTCTGTATAATTTAACACGTTCTCAGCATAAGGATGATATCACAGAGAGGAATTTGTGAACGTTTTTTCGCAGGCGAACTGCGTGGCGGATCTGTTCAAGCAGCGGAGCCACTGCTTGATGGACGAGAAGCACCGCGCAGCGGATTACGAGACGGGGGGCGGCACACAGGTGAATAATGGCACTACTAATCGCAACTGTTGACCTAACGAGTTAGCTCTTCGCTTGCTGACCACAACAAGGCCGTGACTGTCTTCTAGTTGCCTCTGGGAAGCTAAAGCCCGGTCGCAGGGAACAAAAACGCTCACGCCGGCCTGCGCCGCCTGGGATCCGAGAAACGAAAACAATCTCGCGCTGTCTAGACCTGGCTGTCGCGAATCTTTTCGTTCGACAGCGAAACATGACTGCCTTACACGCTGGGGACCGCTCATCGCCTACCGCGGCGACTCTTCGTCATCATCGTCAGCTGATTCCATGCTAATTAGACTTGTCGAAAGTTTTACAATCGAGCACGGTGCCTCGCGACGCTTTTTTTGTCCCTACCGAGTTGTCCCGTGGTCAGTTCTACTTATTTAACACTAGAACTATCTTTGAAGGATTCGAAAAGGGGAACAAGCATTGGCCCAAATTTTTATTCAACGTTTCAATTTAGATAGATCTAGTGTTAAATTGTCTGGTGGAAGAGCTTTGTTTGTAGCGAAGAGCATACGAATCGTTGTCTCGTTTCAGCTTTGCTGTCAGGTCGTTTTATGTCGATCCTTTATTTCGTCCAAATTGTCCGTTCCTCGACGGACCTTCGTTATTCTACGTCTCGCTACGAGAGACGTTCATTTCTTTTTCTATGTTTTCACTCTTAGCGAATTGTACGATAAGTAGGCGAAACGATGAGGTGGAATTATCAGGCTGAGGATTCCGCGAGATTTCAATCGCAGTTTATATTGTACAGCATCGGAAAATTCTACTTAAACTTCTTTTTTCTATCTAATTTTTTTTTTTTAATAAAGGAACCGCAGCCTGGTTCATGGTTTCACCGAAGATGTATTTATTTCTTGTTGAGCGTTATTTATTTATAGGGAGATGCGTGAGCGACGACCGTTTCGCAGCGTCAAACGCATGGTTCGTTGCTTACGCGAGAAAAAATAAAACTATATTTTCTAATCAGCGAGAAGGGGAATGGAACGCGTGGTGTACATTCATTTTTATTCTTGTACTATACTTTATATAGGTATTGTTGATATTTGGTGCTCTTACAAAGTCGTTTAACTTAAAAGAAAAACTATTGCACGTACATATACGCGTGTATGTACGATAAGAATTGAAGCAGAATATTTTTTATTTTTTTTGTTCTATTGGAATCATGAAAAGGGAAAACGTTGACAAGGAAACGCAGATAAAAAAAATGTCTCTCAGTATTCACAGTTTTATTTTACTTTACTTATTATAATACATTACAGACTGTGGGTTTTTGTGAACCTCCGTTACTGCATCACATAAGAAAAAAAAGGAATGTTAGCTTCGTTCATAAAAATTCACAGTTACTAAAAATATTATTCGTTGCTTGCCGGACGAATATGCGTATGACACGTATTCTTATATAGGTTTATCGTTAATTATTATAATATAAACGATTCGGGCGCGTATATGATTGAAATGTGATTTACGAGTAATAATCTTGCACAATATTACGTAATAAGGGTTCGTTTAAGAAAGAAAAGGAATAAGTAGTTATCTAGCGGCATTTCGAGTTTCGCGTTAACAGATTCGTAACGCAATAATGAGTTCACGAGCACGTTTGAAGTATTAAAAGGTGATTATTTAAACAACTGGAAATGGAAGTAAAATTAGAGAGGGAAAGAATCAGTTTCAAGAATTAGCAGCTGTATAATCCTGTTGACACCGTAGGTTTACTATTTCGAAATGTATACAGTTCTAAAGTAATGAAAAAGGGTATAGATTCTTATATACAATAGATAATAAATATTTACCGGACATATCTGTCCTACCCGCGTTCATTTTCTATTGAAACTTTTTACGATTCGAGTATCGTATAAAAATGATTTGAAATCACACCTCCGATAGTTCGTAGGTAGTTGACGACGCCTACCACAGGCATTGCGAATTCATACTCGTGTATGTATGGTGCTTTGTACTATTCTGCATATATTACGCAGCCATTCAAAGAGATCTCTTTACATTATACTTCCATGGTTATTTTGATCCTGTGCAATGCGATTGGGACAAACGATGATAGACGTATACGAATATCTGTTCAGCATGTATAACGATTTTATGACTACTATTGATGATCAGATTGTATGAGAGTTGTTGGAAGTAATGTAAGGAGATTCTTCGTTCGATTGACTGGGCGTAGAACTACGTTCAACTGTACGGCAGAGCTGTATCATCAACTGGAAGTATTGTGTACCTGTACACTGTTATAGTCAGACTACGAATGCTCACGTAAATGACATTAAAACTGAGAAGGAACTTACTTTTCGCTTATAATACTGTAAATTAATTTGTTATATTTGAAGTGGCCTATTTATTTTTGCTATGTATAAATTCTTGGTGTAAGTATTCGTATTCTGATTATAGTAGACAAAACTGTGTACGTTTATATGTTAAGATAGAAATGTTTATTTATTTTATAAATGATATATAATATCCGATTCGTTAATGGGAAAAGGGTGTCTGAAAGAGACCAATAAGTGATATATTACTTCACTCATCTACTTAATGTAGGGTGCAGTCGTATTAATAGTATAACCGAACAGCCAACGTGAAATCATTTAATTATTGATATACGTGAAAGAAATTAATAATCCTTTTTGAAAATTTGTTAATATTCGGTTGTAGTATTAATGCAACTTCACCGATTTCACTTTGCGCCTATCGTGAAAGTATAAAAAAGGATTGTTGAAAACAATCGCAGAGAGAACGCAGTACGCTCATTTATTTTTATCTTCGATCGAGTAAAAAATCTTGTGACTTCCCAAGATTCTTTACGAATTATACATTCCCAGTCTAATAATAAATTCTATACTCTTTCGATCCCGTTTAGACGCGAATGTTTATGCACTTTTATAGCTGAAGAAATATCTGTTATCATTGGAACGGTTAATCAGTGGACGGATTTCCTTCTACTCGAAAAGAATGAATAAAAATGAAAGTACTTATCGAGATGTTAAAAACACTTTTGTATAAAATATACTTCGTAATGTTCGAGGGTGAGAGTAGATTTTTATATTTCGTTCTTGCGGGCACGAATCAGCGTAAACATTCGCCAATACATTTTTCCTTTTTTTTTTTACACAGAGCTGAGCTCTCGAAAACTTATCTCGGAATTGAAATGCAAATCATTCTTCGTATCGTCCTGTTTAGAACGTGCTATTACAATAATCGATAATACCTAAAATAGCGGAACCATTCTTCGTTGTTCGCACGAAGGTTTTAACTTTATGATCATACGTTTAACTATAAGCGAAACACATGTGTAATTATTAATGTTTTATCGACCGCTAATCTTGTTCCTTGGACACTATCCGGCAACTTCAATTTACATATATATACTATGTATACAATTTATATTTTATCCGCAGAACATTTTAACTACAAATCAGTTTTTAAAACATGTAAACACGATTCCAGTTTACTATGAGAATAAAATCCTTTTAATTCACAAGAATAGATTCCCTGCTTTAAAAGTATTTTGTTAAACTGTCTCTAGCTCTCGTGCCGTGGATCTGTGTATATGCAGTGGCAACGAATTATGTTCAGTCAAATTTATATGGATGGGTAATTTAAAGTTCGCGATACGGACAGACCTGCGATAAATCATCGAAGCTTAAAAAGAGGAGGACGTATGTTTAAACCCGTTCCTCTAAATCTGATCCGCGAGGTAGTATAAATAATGGTGGTCTCTGTACGAGGATTGAATCGTTCATCATCGGTTCGCCAACAGTATAATGACACCGCGAAACGATATGTAAATACATTTACGATAAGTTTGATCAGCGCGCATTACTTAAAGAAAAGTGGCACACGCGATTCGAAAGATCTACGCCTCCTCCTCAAACCCCCTTCGATAAAATCTGCTCTTCGTACCATAAATAACGAATCCTGCAATTAATCTCTGGTTACAAATGAAAGTTTCCGCGTTATCTCTTCATTGTATCTAAATGAATATCATACGAAGACCACAGGGTACGTATACTTTTTTTTTAAATTAAGGACTGCTTCTTAGCGTCGGTGTCCGATGAGAATAAGCGCGATTCAAAAGCTGTTGAAGGTAATAAACGAGTTGATTACAATGGAAGTCCATTTACTCGAATACATTAAGGCAGAGATAAAGGGTCACCATTTCTCTCTCTTATCAATAACTCCTCATTCACGTAATAGAAGCTGACGGCCCACATAATGGTTTTAAAGATTCCTTCATTCGTTTCATCTAGATTAAAGACTTTGGGCAATGAGATTGATTCGTAGGAGAATTCGGTGAACCACTTTAATTCATTCTTCATCCAGCGATATTGTCTTTATTATTCGTCTACTTGCTTTCTCACATGTTTTTTATTAAATTATATAAGTATCGTTCCCGTTGCCTAATGCAATATAAGTGTTGCTTTTTAAGATAAAAGGACAAGGTGAATGTCAGATGATCGCAAAAAATACGTTTTGAGACTGATACGAGTTCTGTTTAAATTTCAGAACGAATTAACGTCACTTCGAAGGGAAGTAGTATCTTACAGTGGGATTGAAAGAAATGGGGAGAACTATGCTTAAGATCACACAGCATAGATTATACCAATCATGCTTTGTCTATATGTATAATAACTAAAAAATCTTATACTTGTGTAAAAAATTGTACAACTTGATTAAACGAGGGCATTGGTAGTTGATGTACTTTCACTATTTTCTCCGTTCCATTGCATGTTAAACGAGAGTTTCGCGTGGATAATATCCTACTCTCTGCTCAGTTCTTCATTAAAATTTCATTCATTCCTTTCAGGATTCTATCGACGAGGATCCCGAGCAGTTGAAAGACAGGTCGTGGAGATCTCACATTAAGCATTATTGTAATATATTGTAAATTCAATTACTGCCATACCTTGTATTAGTTAATGTGCTTTATTATTCATAAGCCAATTAGTTTATGATCGTATATCTTTGTAAATAATTGTGCACTTTATAAAGTTAAATTAATAAATAAATTTATATATTATTCGTAACTTATAATATCTTACAAATGGCATAACATATTAATATAACAGAAAAGTACTATAATATGAACGTACAACAATAGACGAATCTTAATTTTATTTCGCATGCCTTCGAGTAAAGAAACTTATAACTCTTCCTTGCGAGGAGAGGTTCCTATATCCCTAATACTTCCAATAAAGAGCGACGTCTTGCTGGGTTTATATTCGATAATGAACATAAAAGGCCGATCCACTACAAACTTCTCTGGTTCCTCGACAATCATTCGTCGCACCCTTACTTGCGCATCTGAGATCATAAAATAAGAAAGAGGTATTAATACGTCGAGAACGAATATAAATTTCTAATAGAATCGGATTTACAAGTTGCAGCCGCGGCTTCTGTTCCCTCTTCGTTGACTTCTATAACTGCCTTGTGTAGAACTTTACTGACTAGCAACGGCACCTTGGAAATCCTTCTGAAGTTTGCGTTATGCTCGAACATCAAGCTCAGATCCAGCTGATCACAAAACAATTTTTATAGCTACTTATAAAATAAAATTTCTTGGAAGATGCATACGACGCACATTACGTAAAATATTTCTCAAGTCTATTCGGAATTCAACTTTGAATTTAGGAAGATACAGTTCAACTTCGCTGTTGGAAACGGTTACATTTTCTAGTGCTTCCCGTGTATACTTATTCTCCACATTCATAAGGCCGTTGATGTCATCCGGTAAGATTATGGTCATGGTGACGTCTGTATTCTATGAAGTATGTTTTTAAGTTCTCCATTTAGCTTGAATATGTATCTACACGAACGTACCATGTAAGGAATTTGTATAAATTTTGCTTTCAGCGTTGGTATGTTACCGTGAGCGTACGAAGACTTTCTATACATCGTTGGTACAAGTTTCTGCTGGCTCGCCGTTACATGAAACGCTCTGTCTTTCGTATTCTTTTTATCGAACGCTTGTAACCAATTGCCATTAAAATAAATTGCATTCACTAACACCATGCATGTATTCTCATCGAAATCGTCTAAAGCATAGAATGTATTAGCCTTTGCATTTTTTTATTATGTTCCTTATACTGAACGAAATAAAACATACTAGGAGATACGAGAGCAGGTATCTTATTATTTGTCTTTTTCTTAATCCAACCGTTGATCTTCGCTGCCGCGTCCGTATTACGTCTGAAATCGATCTTCACGATTTCAGATTGATAAACCTCTTTGCCTATCGTCAAGAATTCTGTGAATAGATCAAAGTCGTGTCTAACATACATCGCGTTCGCGAGGTATAATTTAATGTTGCCCAGTTCCTTGAAAATACAGAAGATATTAATCACAATATTGGATTTCGTTTCTTCTTAGTGCTCAGTCTTAATAATCTTACATTGAATTGTGTTATTAAGGATCTATATCCTTCTTTTATAGACTCTTTGTCAAAAAGGTAAAGAGACTTAGTGAACTCCTCTAAAGTGGTAGAATCTGCGCCATGCGAAAGATAGGACAATATCATATGAATGCTTAATGGTGAACTAACAATATTTTCATTGGCGGAGGCAGCAGTGAATTGCTGAAACAAATTGGAAAGTAATATTATCTCTAATGAACTATATTAAATATTTTATTAGAAATTCTTACTTACTTTGTATATGTTTCTTGTAAATTCATTACACGCAATAGATAAATTTTTGTACATGTCCTCGGTTTTACCTGTACTCGTACTTGCAGGTGTAGGCCTCGACATGATCGTTAATGCAGTTAATACTAAAAAACAGATATTGCCATAAACATTTCCGAACATGTAAAGGGTTTATAAATAACACTATTGTCTGAATATTTTAATGTAGATCACCTGAACATATTAGAAATGCCATTCTTTTCATAGAATGTTACAAATTTCATGTTAAATGTCAAAGTAATTCGTATATCTTTTACGCTTGAATGTTAAATGCAAGGAGTTCGTTTTGTGCTTAATTTATAATGAATAAAATCAAATAAATGTCATCCGTATGAGAATACGAAAGGTTAGCTCATACATCTGTCAAAGGCTAAAAAAAGGTGCAACTACCTGTGGAACTAAATCAGCTGTCTAGCTACAGGAATAAACCGCGCGATTTTATTTAATTTTGAAATTAAATATATTGTCTCATTAGGGAAAGAACTGATAGGTAACTTGAAAAAATTGATTCAATATCTTCGAGACTGTTATATACTGTACAATGCATGCCGATCGCTGATCGCTACGATTCTTGTAACAGTCTACAGTACAGTGAAAAAGAATCATTAATACAATCAGAAAGAAAATTAAAGAAAAAGTTTTTGCAATAAATAATTTTATTTATTAATTAATTATTGACGCTTGTGAAAAAAATTTTACACAAAAATTATAGGCACTGCCGTCGTCTACACGAAATATTTTATGAATTTTTCTTCTAACTCTCGTATTTAACAAGTACGATTAATCGGCATTTTATTGGCATTGACGAAATCCGACCGACCCACCGTCAAAACGGCGAACTTTTGGTAAAAAATTTCGTTCTTCCTGAAATACTCCTAAACCGTTGGATTTATGGGAAAATTGCATACGATATTTAACTTGCCTTAGAAACGAATCAAGATTCTAAACGTATTAATGCATAAATGTACTAACTTGATCTTTAGCGAAGCTATTCGAGGGCAGTACGTCTTGATTCGATGAATAATGAATAAGGAATGACATTCCTGAGGCGAACGACACTGAGCAGAATGCCAGCATGAAATTTATATCGTGTAACGATTTACAGGTATTGGCTTCTACTTAATTCTCACATCTTCTCGATTTTTAACTGTCTTCGTGGTACTTCGCTCCGTAAGAAACGTAAAGACAAACAATCGATGTAACATTCTTTCTCCTGACACAAGTAAATATAAGAACGACAAAAATAAATCATGCAATTCAGGCCAGAAGAAATTATGGAAGAGACTTGAACTCTCGTGAGACCTATAAATCAATCAATAAAATGGGAATTCGAATGAGCCTCATAATCTCTTCTGTTCCTTATCCCTGACGAATTCCCTTCACCCTTTCACGGACAAATCGAGTCCAGCTCTCTGTTTCTCCTTTTTACTTTCTCTTTCAATTTTTCATCCCATCATCCCGTGCATCATTTCCCACTCCCAACGTCGATGGGCGATTTTCTTTTTCGTTCGTTCCGTTCTCCTTTTCCTTGGTCCTCCTCCTCCTCCTCCTCCTCTCGCGTTCTCGGCCCCTCCTCGTTGCACCTGTGACTGGTACACACGAAAATGTGTTCGTCACTCGCAGACACACATCCTGATTACTAATTCACGAAGCCGCGGACTACTTCCTTGCCGAGTTGTGACACCAAATCCCATATTCCAGCCGAATGGAGAGTCGAGACGGACGCGCGGTTATCCTTGCAGTCTCGCGGATACGACTTTCTTTGATTATCCATTAAACCGATTTTCATTTGTTCATTCATACTTCTACACCGTCTCGGTTTCACATTTTATAATACTTAACAGGCGTGTACGTATAATACGACACCGAGCGAGACGAGGTGAGCATAAGAGAAACGGCTGGATGAACTGGAATGTGTCTCACAAAAATCTCCTGAACGGATGCTATGCGGAGTATGATCTATCGTTAGTTGGAAGGGGGAAATCGGTTCGGATTTACAGTTAGACGATTGGCTCTACGGCTATCAGGCATCGGTTGCTTTCGCTCCTTGGACAGAATTCCGGATTTTCGTTCACCTCAAATTCATACCGTTCGCATACCATCGCGTACTTTCGATTTAAACCGTCTTTAACACGTTCGCCGACACCATCGCCCCTTCCTCATCTTCATTAGGAATATCGATAGAGAATCGCGTCTACTCCTTGTTGATTTCCAATTCGTATAGAAACTCTCCTATCAGTCAATTGGAAATTCAAGTGACGTGTGAATGAAATTGCAATTAAATGATAATATGATAAAAAAACTATGGGTAGAAATAATAGTACGCGATTGCATGCAGCTGCGTAATAAATCTTACATAGTGCAAATCATTCTTAACTTTTTTTTTATAGGAGCTTGATAGATGTGTTTAACTATTGATAAAGTATGAGTCAGGTAACGGTTCCGTTGCCGGTGGCTTCAGCTCGTCTCCGAATGTTCCGCTGGTTTTAAAAACGAATTCGGTGCATGGTCCTTTCGGCAGAGGGACTCGCGACGACGACGTTCTCCGGAAAGGGAGAAAACACGAGCGACGAGAGCCACGTGGAGAACCCGAAGAAGAAGGTGTAATGGGAAAGAGGACGGGTAACGAGGTGACGAAGAGGTGGAGGAGAGGCAGCCAGGCTCGGTGGTATAAAAGGGTCGCGGAGAGACGCCTCGTCTGTTTTAACACTCTCACCGGGTCGCTCGGTGGATATCAACGCAACGACTCGCGTCGTCCATCGACCTAGACCACCGCTAATAACTCGTGATCTCGCGCGAGGACTTCAACGTACACGGAGAGGTGAGTCGAAGGAGCCCTAAAGGGTTCGCTTCCAGCCCTTCTCCTGGTGAATCGTGGATTTAGTGGGCAACGTGCCACGCATCTCTCGTGACTGGCTCGATTCGACTGGTGCAACAATTTCTACGATCTCGAGATTTTACAGTGACACTGTGTGCGACGATGTGACAAATTTTATAGACGGGGAGGTCTCACGGTGATGTATGCATATACGCTTGCCGATGAAAATTAAGAAACGGTATTTATCTGTTCTCGACGTACGCGTTGGGAGGCGAAGGAGCATCGTCGAACAAGTTTAATTGGTGTTCACGGTAACTTGTCGATCAAGTATTTGCAAATAATGAGAATATCTAGTGTAATCACGTATCACGTTTCTTAAGTTATTCGGTAAGTGTATTACAAATGTCTTTCTTTTTGATGGAAAATTATTGTGGGACACGGGCTTTCTTGGGGCCTGGCCAAGTAACGTTTATTTGTCTACCGTTAGTCGCGAGAATATGACATGGGAATCCTGATGCCTGCTGCCGGTTGAAGGTTCCCTCAGTGTCAACTGAAAAATTTATTCGCGCCGGAAATTAACTCTCTTATTACGCATTGTGCATTTTAATTAATTAATTAATTACTCGATGCAGATGAAGCGAGGATATGAATCATTTATAAATCCTACATTTTCTGTATTGTATCTTCTTCTTAAGAACTTCCTAATATTGGAACTTTCTATGGAAAAAGTTGAAAAGGCGATAAGTGGGATAAATGTATTCCGACATCTGGAACACGCTTTATCGAGCAACAGCAATTTCCAATTCGTGCACCACTCGCCTGACCCCGTTTTTGGCCGTATCGAACCAATGAAAGCTTTAGAAATTTCTAACGTACCAGCAGAATTTTCTCGTCATTTCACCTTACGGATTGCACAGATTTTTGTTGCACTTACAGGAAATGAAACTGAACAACCGTGCCTAAAATAGAGTGCGACTCATTCTACTTTGGAATTCCCAAACTAATTCTTCATACGAATTTATGTCTTCATCGTAGTTTTCAAATGGGAATTACTATATCCTTTTAGTGACTGTAATTAATAAGTTACATTGAACAATCATGTGTTTTATTACAGAACCATGAAGTTAGCGATAGCGTTGGCGGTCCTGTGCTGCCTTGCACTTGGCACCCTCGCAACACCGGTTCCAAAGATTTCCGAGGCGAAGTCGTCGAGTCAAAACGTCGAGGCAACGGGAAGACAGCAAGCAGTACAACCACCGGTAGTCACTGCAGACGACGACGACGACGACGATGACGATGACGACGACATCGACTTAGATATCACGGGAGATGACGACGACGACGACGACGAATTCTATTCTTATATCATTCGACACTTGAATCTGTGTACGACCTCGTATATTAGTAGTTTTCAGAGTCATAATTGAATCAATCTGCCGAAGTTCATTCATCAGAATAGACGAGTAACTGTGCTAACAGTCGAGTTTGTTAGAAATAGCGACGGTAGGAATCGCGTTTGCATTGACCTTGACTGTGGAATGCATTGATAAATGGACGGTGGATTGCAGGAAAGTGGATAGAGAACAAGAGCAACGACCCAAGGGAGAGTTTTAGGTAGACACGAGGAAGAGGTTGCGTACACGCGGCTAGATAGGTCTGTAGGTGAGTAGGAAGCAGGTCGTGACCCAGATTCGGAGACCAGTTTGGTTTCGCCTAAGGATTCCGATATACCGTTAGCATTGTCGCTCTTTCTTCCGAACTTAATTCATCGAGGTCGCCGCGCGGAAGTTTTTTCCGTGTCGATTCATCGCATAGCTTAACGCCAGCCACGGTTTATAAATAAAATTATACCCGACGATCGTCGGTGATGATAAACAAATAGGTGCATATGAAATGTCTTCACTGAAGTAACAGCTTCAGAATTTTCTTATTTAATTTCTAATGCCTTAATAATAAAAGAAATTGATTTTATTCACATTAGGAATGAAATGAGTTTTAGCAATATTTTAACGTTAAAGCAACGTTGAATGTTAATGGATTAACACTGTTGCTTCGAGCTGATCTATAGTGAATAGATTGATTCTGATTGATAAATTGACCTCGGCTTATTGGTAAGAAGTAATGGAATGAAACTCCGTTCTATACTTCGACGCTAGACGTTGCTCGAAAAACAAATTGTAAACTCACGGTAAAATGATATTTGCGAGAGATTGGCGAAAGCTCGACTGTCAGGACTGACGAGTGAGAAGCTATTATTTATTAATTGCATCACAGGTGGTTCTCGTGCACGTGTAGATATAAACACAGTCACGTTTCGAGATAAGAACGCGGATTTGCTATCAACGCAAACACCGAGATCGTATCTAATCTACGATACGAAAAAGAATTGAATAACTGGTGAAACGTGGTAAACAGAACGAGATGTTTTATCAACGTAACAATATTCGCCACTGTGAATTAGTTTCGTAACGGGAAAATTGCTGTTATCTTTCTTCATTACTTTCTAAAATCTCATAACGTATTACGAACTACTTTGCCACTTCAGAATGTAGAATGAATTAGTTAGACGACGACGATGACGATGATGAGGAACCCGATTATTTGGAACGTATCATCGAAGACATACTAGGTAACGTAGTTTTTAATCTACAGATATTTTAATTTGATCTTCTTGGCGTCGGGTGAAATTCGCGGATTTTTATTGTAATCGAAGAAGCGAATGGAATTTCGTGGAATTGAACAATAAGGAACGGCAACCGTTATGCAAACGTCGCGGCCCGAGTTAGCGACACGTTCGTTCGGCGGAAATTCTGGTGCGTTCGCGTAGCCGGTAACGGTACAAGATACTTCAAACTCGCCCGAATTAACATAAATCGTCGGCGATCCCAGTTTCGAAAACAATTTCTACGCGCTACTTATTTTTCTGACCCAGATAAAAAAATGCTCATCGATAATAATTGATAATAGAGAATAGTTCATTTACTTAATCTATAATAATTAATAGATAATGCTTGATAATATATTTCTCATCAAACTGTGAGTTCTGGGTTATTACAAAAAAAATTTCTCGATTGACAAACTAATAAATTCCTTCATTCACATTTAATAACTACTACTATACTACCCGGATTTCTTTTAATATGGGGAAACACCCGGAAGTATATCTAATGAGTACGACTCATCCGGGTAGCTATTAAAACACAGAAATAAGACAGCATGCTTTAAACTCGGGAGGATCTCAAGCATAATATTTGCTTATAGGAGACGACGATGATGACGATGACGAGGACGAGACGCCAGCTGCGGAAGCTGTCCCGGCGCCAGCTCAGGCATCATCTCCGGCGATTCCCGCTGCCGTCGAGGCAGACTTGAACGCGCAAGCCGCCCAGGAAGCAGAAGCCGCGGCTGAATTAGCTGCCGAGAACGCTGCCGCTGAAAACGAGCCGATCAGCGCCGAAGAAGATGACGCTAACGCAGTTGGCGAGGGTCAAGCTGCCTCTGGCATCCACGAAACGAGCTTAGCAGGTGCGGAGTCGCAAGCGAATCCTGTCCAAGTCCCCGCCGCCGTGTCCAACGAGGCGGACGTCGACGAGGACGACGACGACGACGACGATGACGACGACGAGGTCGATCTAGTGTACACGGAGGACGACGACGACGATGAGGACGAGGACGAGGACGACGAGGATGACGACGACAGTATCGCCGACATCACCGGCGCCAGGCAAGCACGTGAGTTCAAGGGAAAGAGCAAGAAACACGGTACGGGGCGTAAACTCGCGCGCAGGTCTCGCAAGCACGCGTCGAGCCCTAACCCGAAGGCTGCCGTTTAAATACCAGCGCCGAGCGGGATCGGACAAACGAGTGGCAAGTCGCGAGCAACCTTCCCGACCGGTCAGAAGCTAATCCGAAGCGGTACACGCTTTTTCTATTCGGTCGTCTTCAATTAGACCGCTGCGATTGTCCTTTGTCATTTGTTAGATCAAACACTTTTGGTTAAATCAATTAGTTATCGAGGAGTCATTCATATTTCTAATAGTTTGCTAAAGTTTTCTAACGAAGTACACGAGTCTTTAAGAATAGTTAAACATTGAAGATGGTTCATTTAAATTAAATAGAAGGACACGATCCAGCAGGATCTAATCGCTCCGACGGCCAGTAGAGCTTGCGCACTCGTACTAAAATACGAAAAGCTCCCCAGTTTGCTGTTCGACACACGATTCCATCCTTGAGACTATCTCGGCAATATTTACTGAGAGAAAACAAATTAATTTAACATACGATGAATTTAAAGATTGTTTAAAAATCATGCTGGACGTGGAAGTAGCGGTAGTGTATTTGTTCTATTTATTAAAATGCCTCTGATACGCACGTGGTCGAACGGCATGGCGAATCTAAATACGCGAACAACTCGTAACAGCAACGCGTTCCTCGTTTTTCCGTGCAACGGAGCTCGCACGACTTCCGTTTACGGCGTTCTTAACTGTTCTTAATCTCTTTCTCGTTAGTGGAGTCGTTTGGATTCGACTAACGAGGAACGAGGGCGCATCAAACGGGATGCATTATAAACGAACCAGATATTGTACATACGTTTTACTAGCCAAAGTATTCGAAGTTCGTGCGAGCAATGTTGAACGATAGGAGGTACAGCAACCGAGCGAAGAACTAAAGTACCTTTCTGTACCTGCACTTCTTTTTTTTTTTTTAAATATCTACCTAACGAAAGAGTATTCACATAGAATATTTCACTATTCGTGCAAATCTATAAGCTTCCTTAACTATCTATGCCAGGTTGCTGCACAAGTTCTGGCTTAAGAATTATATTCATATCACGTCTGTTCCATGTGTTAAACACATTTTATTTCTCGCAAATCGACAAAACTTGCGCAGCAAACTATTATTTATTTAAGAAATTAGTACAGTCGTCTCTTATTTATTTAAGAATCTTGTAATTTATACGCCCGCCCACGTATATATTCGTGCAAATCTATAAGCTTCCTTAACTATCTATGCCAGGTTGCTGCACAAGTTCTGGCTTAAGAATTATATTCATATCACGTCTGTTCCATGTGTTAAACACATTTTATTTCTCGCAAATCGACAAAACTTGCGCAGCAAACTATTATTTATTTAAGAAATTAGTACAGTCGTCTCTTATTTATTTAAGAATCTTGTAATTTATACGCCCGCCCACGTATTTATTTATTTATATTAACTTCGCTTTAGATGGTACGAAAAGCAAAATGTTCTATGGTGTCGAACAGTTTTGATTTACCGGAATGCGTGAGACAGAGATACTTTGGCGAAAGAAAAACTGTTTAGGTAGCATTTGAGAAAAATTTGGCTTGGCGACCTCACGTCACGTATTTATCCACTTTGCTTCTCGGAGAATACCGAGGAGCAAAGAACGTGTGTTTCTACGTTAAGAATGAGAGAAAGAGAGCCGAAAATTTAATTTCGCTGAGTAAGCAACACCGTGATCGACCATTTGAATAGAGTATTAGATTCTTCCAGTTTTCACTGCATTCTTCTCTACTCTCATTTCACCCTCGCTTACATAAAGATCTATTATTTATTTATTTCATAATTTAGATAATATCCCTCCTCATTGTCGCATAAATTGTTGCGTACAGAGATTAACAGTCTAAAGAATGAGAAAGAATTGTGGCCGAGAAACGGTGTCGCTTATCGCGCGACGATTGTAAAACCTCTCCGTCTGAAAAGAAAAGCTTGTACAGAGACGTTGTCCGTTCTGGATTGCAAAAATACAGATAATTTATTGTTTTTACAAAAAAAAAAAACAACTTGTGTCTTGCCTTTTTATTTCTGTCCATCTATGTTTGTCCAGATACGCGTGATCGAAAAAAAGTAATCTGTTTTTGAGAACAGAAGAGGTCGATGTTCGATTTTGAATAACGATTGAAGCTGCTTTCTTCATTTAATGCGTGATGTGTTGTCACTTGGCACTGTATAGAATTCAGGCTTGAATTCTAAGATGAAATACGAATTGCACCTAACTGTTTTTTATTTTATTGGTACACGTTCGAGAACGCTTCGCTTGTCACTCGTTTGTAAATGTTAGTAGTGTAGCCCTTGCTTGAATTTCATTGCCTTATCCTTGAGTAGATGCACGTGTTTGGTGGACGGCTTTTACGGTGGACGAATCGACATCACGTATTACTGGACATTGACACAATAACTTTGGGCCCCCTACGCACTGTTCCCTATCCTTTCCGTTTATACAAAAGCACAGTATTCTAGTTTACGAAATAATCCATAGTATTATGTAGATTTGTGCACACGCGATGGTAGCAACGCACGCTGTCTGCATGCGATGTGCTAACAAGATTTCAGCACACGATTCCAGTCAGACCGACGTTAATTAAGACATTTCATATGCACCAATTTAAATTGAATAAGTGTGGCAAATTTTTGAACAACTGAAACTGTAATTCAATTTACGTATCTTCGATTCGGCTATTAAAATTCCGGTGGACAATCGATTAATTGAAATAGGAGATGGAAAGAGAAGCGGTACACGGGGGACGCGTCGAAACTCTTAATCAGAGGCCGGCAATCGGCAGCCAATTAACTTTCTACAGGACACCGGCCAGATCCAATAAAGGTGTGACCGGGTTGAAATTTTTTCTCGGCTTTCACCGTACGAGCTGATGTATACGCTCGGTCCAAAACGGAACGAGGCCACTGACCTAAGAACGTGAAAGAGTTCTCTCGTCCACGACCCTGACCCACACCCCAAAGTCATGGTCGCTTGCCTCTCGTCCTCGATCAGCCACCTGACGTCCCTCGCTCTCTTAAAACAGATTATCAAACAACAACAACAATAATAATAATAATGATAATAATAATATAGAATTTTTCAGTGAAAGAATTAACTTGAAGAATCTTAATTCAATTTATTTCTTCAAACTTTCTAGTCTTATATCATTCGACACTTGAATCTGTGTACGACCTCGTATATTAGTAGTTTTCAGAGTCATAATTGAATCAATCTGCCGAAGTTCATTCATCAGAATAGACGAGTAACTGTGCTAACAGTCGAGTTTGTTAGAAATAGCGACGGTAGGAATCGCGTTTGCATTGACCTTGACTGTGGAATGCATTGATAAATGGACGGTGGATTGCAGGAAAGTGGATAGAGAACAAGAGCAACGACCCAAGGGAGAGTTTTAGGTAGACACGAGGAAGAGGTTGCGTACACGCGGCTAGATAGGTCTGTAGGTGAGTAGGAAGCAGGTCGTGACCCAGATTCGGAGACCAGTTTGGTTTCGCCTAAGGATTCCGATATACCGTTAGCATTGTCGCTCTTTCTTCCGAACTTAATTCATCGAGGTCGCCGCGCGGAAGTTTTTTCCGTGTCGATTCATCGCATAGCTTAACGCCAGCCACGGTTTATAAATAAAATTATACCCGACGATCGTCGGTGATGATAAACAAATAGGTGCATATGAAATGTCTTCACTGAAGTAACAGCTTCAGAATTTTCTTATTTAATTTCTAATGCCTTAATAATAAAAGAAATTGATTTTATTCACATTAGGAATGAAATGAGTTTTAGCAATATTTTAACGTTAAAGCAACGTTGAATGTTAATGGATTAACACTGTTGCTTCGAGCTGATCTATAGTGAATAGATTGATTCTGATTGATAAATTGACCTCGGCTTATTGGTAAGAAGTAATGGAATGAAACTCCGTTCTATACTTCGACGCTAGACGTTGCTCGAAAAACAAATTGTAAACTCACGGTAAAATGATATTTGCGAGAGATTGGCGAAAGCTCGACTGTCAGGACTGACGAGTGAGAAGCTATTATTTATTAATTGCATCACAGGTGGTTCTCGTGCACGTGTAGATATAAACACAGTCACGTTTCGAGATAAGAACGCGGATTTGCTATCAACGCAAACACCGAGATCGTATCTAATCTACGATACGAAAAAGAATTGAATAACTGGTGAAACGTGGTAAACAGAACGAGATGTTTTATCAACGTAACAATATTCGCCACTGTGAATTAGTTTCGTAACGGGAAAATTGCTGTTATCTTTCTTCATTACTTTCTAAAATCTCATAACGTATTACGAACTACTTTGCCACTTCAGAATGTAGAATGAATTAGTTGTCAACAGCTATATACACGGTGAGGCAATAACTGTGTCCACTCTGAATATTTCCGCTATTTGTAGAGATATGAAAAAATTGTTATTACGAAAGTTGTATTATATCGAGGGGGCCATAAGATGTTGATAATATTTTCTCAAAAAGTGAAGGCGTTTCGGAGATTTCCTCTATTTTTTTAAATGACGTGTCATACTGTTTTATCTTTAATGCAATAGCGTATGTTGATGCGATTTCAACGACCTATAACACTAAATCTTTTGATATTAAATAAGAGATTAAAATAAGTATATCTCTAAAAATAACGCAGATATTCAGGGTGGACATAGTTACTGACCCACCCTGTATAAGTTTCTCAATGAATGTAAATTATTATTCATACCTATTCTCGAACGTGAATTTCAAACGATTAGAAATCCACGTTCGCAGTATTTAGGACGATATTAACATTATTTAACATGGATTCTTCGAATTTCACTTAATTAAAATCTCAGAATCAGTCATCGACGCTGAATAAATCTTTGTGTCGACGACCTGCTAATCGTGCTATTGAAAAGTGGTCGCGTTCAAGGACTTGGGACCAATTGTAGGTCGAATGCCTCTTTTTATTAGTCAGCATATACTTTCAAACACTTGGAATGTCTATCGTCGCGCACACTAGTAGAGAAACTTTTATTGATTTCACAGTTATGGACAGGAAGTAATGTTTATTCGACGGAACTATTTCAGGCATGATGCAGGAACCGGCTAGCGACGTGTCCGCGATTTACGTAGCGAAATACAATCGTTTCGTGGATAACATTTTAGCAAGGATCAACAAAATCCTGCGCACTAATTACGATCCTGTCACCGTCAAGCTCACGAATCCTAACTCTAAGACAAAGTCGAACAAACAGAAGAACAAAAGTAAGACCAAGAAAAACAGTAACAAGGGAATCAAGAAAAGTAACATGGGCACAATCACAGCTATCACTGAAAAACTGTCTGAGGAAAATATGCAGGTAACAACAACTTCAACTAAAGAATATTAACAAATATCAAGTGAAATACTTGAAATAAATGAATTTGTAGAAAGGTGTGGAAGCTGTTGAAAATATAACTGCATCTGCCGTTATCGAGAAGGAAATGGCCCCGACTACTAGTCTGGTCGAACTCGCAAGTAAAACAAACGTAGAGACTACTACGTCTACAAATCGGCGATCGTCGAATAAAAAGACGAATAAAACTCGTACCGGTTCGAAAAACAAAACGAAACAGACCAGTGGTAACAAGAAGGTAATAGCAATAATTATATCATCATAAAAATCCTATTACTTCATTTTTTTATTTAATTTATAGACGAAGAAGAGTAAGCCGAAGGCAAGAGCTACTTTGTACGGACTCGCGAGCCTCCACAGATCGGGAGACGTCTCGGTGAACATGATGAGCGATCACACCATGATTAAGACGCGGTTTGCCCTTGGCCCGTTGACACTGAAAGTCGAAAAGGAGTTCGGCAGAGCCGCGAAGAAGGAATTGAGAAGCGCCACTGCGACCACAGCAGAGATGTCCGGGAAACTGAGCCTTCGTGTTCTTTACGGTGGTGCAGCCACCCTCAATTCTATTCGTGTTCTACAGCCCAAACAAGTAAGTCTGAACTTCGATCTTCGAGTAAATTTAAGGAAAAATTAAGCTGCACTGCTTAATTCTGTGTTAACAATTCATTGGACGAAAACGTGTTAGTACTTTTCACGGAATTATCGTAAAATCGGTAGATAGGTGTTTCAGGGTTGCAGCTATTTTTAGTCGAAGTCTTCTCACGATTAAAGATAACTTTTTCTGTCAGTTTTTTTCCTCTTGCCATTTTTTAGCTAGCCTCGTTACGTCATTCTTATCGGACATTTTTTTGTGAGCTGATTATACAGTTATACTAAAACTAGATATATTTCTCTGAAGTGCTTTTACTTTCCATTTGTCGATCTTTAAGTACGCAAACGATGTTACGCGAGATAATCGAATGAAGTTCTCACCGATGCTTACGTAATCAATTGTTTTAGATGAATGTCATTTGTATTATTATATCGATAAGTTAAATTGGATCACGTGCAGATAAAAGATCACGGCTCTGATACCATCGGTTCTTTCCATTTGCGTATGCCATCATGTAGAAATAATTGTACTGTCACGCGTCACGTGTTTCAAGCATCGGTTCGTTTATTAATTAGGTGCGAGTGGAAAGCGCGGACGATCATGACCGAACGCGCGAATTCGTGTGGAAGAGATCGTCGCATATCGCACACTTGGTCTCTGAGAAGCTGTCGTCGGCCACGAGGTCGATGCTTCGACCTCCACCTGTTGCAGTGGTCGCCGCTTAAATCATCGACCTTCCCCTCGTTGGTCTCAATGAAAACTGCCTCACTGTACTACAGAACTGGGCTTGTGTTAAAATAACAAGTGCAATTCTTATGGCACATGTTCATTTTAAAATTGTGATCGGCTCGAATTGAGAGATTTGGATACTCGACGCAGAACTTCGAATAGGTTGTAGCGGTAGCTGGGAATTTATTTATTTAACTATAATTAGTGTATCGAGGAACGAATCTGAGCTCTCGATTGATTAAAAAATGAACAGCAGGCCGTTTACCCTTCCTTCGTATTATTTACAATAATTGAAAATTCTATGTAGAAGGATAAATCGTATTTTCATTCCAGACCAATGGACTATTTATTTATTTAATTTATTTATTTATAGTGATTACCGGAGTTTACCGAAACGTTTTTAAACTGCGATATTGATTGTATACTAATTAAGACAACGGAGCTTACTTTTAGGAAATATCATAAGTCAGCTTTTATATTCTTTTGTAACTCATCAAACGTGAATCAATAAAGTATTTTAAGAAAATCGAAGCATTGTTTCGTTTCCATTCAAATCTAAAATTATAATAGCATCACACTTTTATTATTCTGAACTAAAAGTGGAAATGAGTCGATCAAAGTATCGAACGACGTCGGGAATTTTATTGCAGGTCTATAATGCGACTGTCGAATGGCTTAAATTTTTTACGTATGCTCCTGGCTCCTGTGTCTTTCTTTTTTATTCTCAGGTGGAGAAAGAAAGGGAAGTAGTAGTTACAGGTCGTGCGTCAAAACGCACGTGCGCACTGACAATAATGTGTAAAAAAAATATATTTGAACAGCTTATTAAAGCCAAGACACATAACTCTCATCATCTTATGGAAGAATTCTAAGACGAAAGCAAATATTTTTCATGAAACTGCTTCTACCTCAAGAATGAATCCTTCTTAAACGAATACATGAACAGTTAATAAAAAAAAATCATATCCATTGAATAATTTACGATAAGAATAAGATACTAATTTTTAAGAATAATCTACTCAAACATACGTAGTATCACAAAAACTTATGACGCTCGAACTTCTTTGAGTAATAAATCTTTTATACAGTTCAACATATAAAAAAATTATATTTATTAAGTTTCCAATTGATAATTATCACGAGTAATCTCAGCTTATCAAGTTTCTCTTACTTGTATCTTGCTTAAAAATTTTTCGAATGAAAATTTAAACTAGCTGACAAAAGTTTTTGCCAGCAAATATACTCCGTGATAAAGTGCACTAGACGTGTATTTACGCAGCGAAAACAATTGTAAATGTGTCTCGCGTTTACCAATGCTAATCAGGTTAGCATAAAAGCTGCAATAAGAAAATGAACGGTGTTCTTAAACGTTACAAAGTATATTACTTCTTATTTTATTAACCGGAATCAGCTCAAAGTCAATTAAATAAAAAGACTAACACAAGTGTCCAATGCTCTGTGGAACCACAGGGTCAAACGTTACGCATTCCATGTACTAGAACATTCAAGGCTTCGTGGCTCGATAAAGTAAGTCGAATAACAAAAAACTAATTGTACCATTCTCCCCGGAATTATACAGTTCTTATTTTAGATAACGAATTGTTTTCGTTTTATTTAGAACAATGTTATTATTTTAAACTATTTCCAATATAATCCCATTAACTATAACGATAACAAAACAGCAAACAGCTTTTTTATGTTAAGGTAGTTCTCACCTAAATGAATCACAAAACCTTCAGCAAAATTAGTAATTAAGCACCTAATAGATACTTTTGCGAAATTTCAGTGCATTTTGCCACGTTGTTTTCACTAAAGCGTTGAGTAAAGAAAAATTTAAAAAGTTTACAGAGTTATTATAAATAAAAATATGAGTAATCGAATAAAAAACTTAAAAGTTTGAGTATTAATATCTTTAATTCTAGCTGGTCAATTCTTTCCAGATTAACTCAGAAACTATGTGTGTAAATGCACTGAAATTTCTCAGAAGTCTCTATCAGATGCTTGATTAATTTTGTTGAAAGTTTCGTAATTATCTCGAATAGTGTTCATTTAGGTGATAACTACCTTATTTGAAGTTACTAAATAAGTATTCTTGTGTAAACGATTTCGCTACTCATCAATGAAGTCCAATACGAACTGATCAAAACTAGTAAACAGTCTGCCAATAATAAACGTTGAGGTAGTCGCGGTTGATGATTCATCCTCCTACATAATCAAGGAATAAATTACGACCATTCTTCGTTCTAATGGTAAATTGACTTGTTCCATAATACAAAAGAAGATGGAAAAAGTATATCTTGTTCCACCGTCGATATTTAAATCTTATCTACTGCGTACGGTGTATGTGTACGTACGTGCGTTGCGCGCAACGTATACATATATACACATCTACACGGACCGAGTGGGTCGTCGAGTATAGTTTCCCTTTCGTTCTCGACGACAAGCAGCAGTTGTGTCCGCGACGTCGCCGTCGGAGGAATTGGAACTCGAGGTTAGTGCGTTTATATATGTATTTAAACTTTCTTCGGCTCCTCTCCCTATCCGCGAACCGTGCGATGTTATTGGCGAAACGCGACGGTGCATAAAGTCCAAGGAGCTAGCGACATTCCTACACGATTCCCAGCACGGGTACGATATTACCGGATTTTTTAAATAATACGTCTTCGACCGTCTCGAATCGTACTTTATACTTATTTCCAATCGAAATCCATTACTCGTGTGCACTTTGCTTTCGGTAATTATGTCTGAATAATAAGTGCCAGTCATTCATCGATCGCTGTATAATTACAGCCGATAATTTATATCAACAAGTAGTATGTTGTAGTTAATGCATCCATCCAAATTATCAATCCATAGAATAACATCGACGATTCTCTGTACTTGTTGTATAATTTTAATTCACGATTCAATTTCATTTTGCATTCCTGCTTATTGTCGTCTTTTGTTCCAGGTTCGCTTAATTTCAGTGAAAGCTTGTAACGTAAGCTTTACATAATGGGTCCTTTAACAACAAGTGTGAGACACACTTTCCATTCTCTCTGCACGACCGCGGTAAGGGCAGTCTCGACGAATGTGATGCTGAACCCGAAAGAGGAAACGAAAGAAGTGGTACTCAAATACTTGGATGGGAAGGACAATGGTATCTTAGTATTGGGATTGAACCGACCCAACTCTTGCAACGCACTGGGCAAAACACTGGTCAGTCAGTTGAAAGACGTTCTCTCTTCCGTCAGAGAAGATTCCAAACTGCGAGTGTTGATCATTCGCAGCTTGATACCGAAAATCTTCTGCGCCGGTGCAGATTTAAGAGAGAGATCGAGGATGGAGAATTCAGAGATCACGAAATTCGTTTCGATATTGAGAAATATGATGGTAGAAGTAGAAACTCTGTCAATGCCGGTAATATCGGCGATCGATGGTGCGGCGATGGGCGGAGGGCTGGAGCTTGCTTTGGCTTCAGATATCAGGGTCGCTTCGTCAGAGGCAAAAATGGGACTCGTCGAAACGAAATGGGCCATCATTCCCGGTACCGGTGGTACCCAGCGTTTACCGAGAATAATCGGGCCTGCCAAAGCTAAGGAACTGATTTATACCTCTCGCATAGTCGATGGCGAAGAGGCGATGAAAATTGGTCTGGTGAACCAAGTGGTCCCGCAAAATAAAGCCGGCGACGCCGCTTACGAAGCCGCTTTGTCGATTGCCAGAGAAATTTTGCCGAATGGACCGATTGGAGTAAAGTAAGTGATTACCTGGAATATGATTTTCCTAAGGCTCGTCAACGTTACTAAAAATCTACCACGCTTTGATTGCAGAATGGCGAAGACGGCGATATCGCAGGGGCTTCAGGTACCTATCAAAGACGGATTTGAAATTGAAAAGGAGTGTTACAGCAAAGTGGTCGATACTCGGGATAGAATCGAGGGACTTGCGGCGTTTGTGTCGAAACGTTTGCCGGTTTATCAGGGAATGTAAATATTGTCGAGGATACAACGCGCTTTACGCATCTATCACGCTTAATCGACATATCAACGATTCTTAACTCTGATAACATATACCATTCTCGTGTTGCGTTATATCATAATACGACTAATATTGCTGTTTTTAAAAGTTATTCACGGGCATTTATATGAATGGTAGGACAATAACTAATGTTAGTATAGTATTAAGATTTACAGCGTTAAATATTTTTGTACACGATTCATTATAATCTTAAGAAAAACAATCTACGTCATTTTTAAATTTCATAGGATTCTCTATAACGTTGTTGTTGTTAATGTATATGTTGTATATGCAGACATTTATTTTTAGAAAAATATAATTATGTTTATAACATCGGTTTTCATTCCTTTGCCTTTGGAACATGCTTCCCATATGAATAAATTATACTTTTATTAAAAAGATTCATTGGACAACAGCAATAAACATCTCGCAGATTTCTTATAATGTTCTCTAATCATTTAAAACAAAAATTATCTAAACTTGTTTTCATTGCACCTAACAAATCCCAATACTTCTACCCTTGGAGATTTAATACTATGAATGGAATGCTTATCAATAAAAAATAAAAGACAAACAGCGTTATGAAGTACCTTGCGTTTCATAAGTAAATTATACTTAATCTATCCCACAGTCAGTGCATTTATGCACATTGCATAGGAAACGGCAAAGACTGCTGTTCGCGTTCCTTTCGCTCTTTCGTAAGCGCCATGAGAATTTTCAGCTGCTTAACAGTGTCTTCTGGGGAAGTGACACGATGCCCAACAGTTAAATCACTCTCATAAATCTCATGATCGTTCCCGCCTTCCGCCGTTTTATCACCAAAGAAATGTATTTCCTCGTATCCTTGGATGTGCCTAAGGCAATAGGTTTTATCCCAACCGATAGGGAAAACGTCAAACGAAATTTGACCTCCTATACAAATGAAAAATCTTCTTTGCTAATTCTGCGTGGCATTACTGAGACTATAACGTATATAAAAGTATTTACCAATACTATAAGTGAAAGCAAGATCCGGAAACTCTTTCTTAATGGCTTGAATAAATTTCTGACGTATCTGATTCTCAAGATCGTATTCGTAAAACTGAATACGTTCTTCTTGAGTGCAATTGCGACCAACAGGTGATATATTCAGCATCCCTGATCGAAATTCAATGAAGGTTCCTCGTTTGAACGGTAAATGTAATTCGGATATATATTTTAGACAAAAATTGATAAAATCTTGTAGTTGCTCTTCACCGATCATGCTTTGAAGCGTCTAAAAGAAATCGAAGCAGTTAATACGAAGTATTTATATTAAGTGAACATTTTTTGCGATATGCTACTTACTTCCGTGCGTAATTGTTTCCCGTCTTTAAAAGCAATCAACCCATTCTCTGCGAAAACGTATTTATATTTTTCGAACATGCTCTTGCCACCCAACTGTTCTTTCAACTTGTTTAAATCTGATCCTCCAACCACTGCCAGATCAAATTCTTTTTTAACAGTTCCCAAAAGAAATTTCTCCACTTGTGGCTTAATCGACTAATGTAAATTTTGATAAGAAGATTATACATGATAAGAGTTTTATACGTGCTCTCATTAAAATTTTCTATACCTGTCTCGGGTCTGTAAGTGTACCATCGACATCGAACAAGCATATTACCTTTTTAGCCATATTAAAAAGTTATTGTCCACTTTCTCAGTCTAAAACAAAAAATTCTGAATTAGATAACAACCATAATAATACCTGTTAACGATTCGAATTTGTTATTAGCAGGCTTTTAAAAATATTTCAGAACCACTAACAAAAACAAATGACTGTTCTGGTCTCGAAATAAGCTGCTGTACGAGGTAAACGAATTACTTGATACATCACGTGCAAGGCGTTTCACATTATTATTATATATGAACAATTCCCCTCCAGTTTCGAAACCCCCATTCATTCTCACAGATTAAATCGTATCCAATCATATTTTAACAGAACTAATTCGAGAGATTTCGAAGTCGACGAAAATGGAGAAACGAGGAAGGAATAAAATATAAATACTGGAAGTTTTGTCTATAAAGAAATATAAAATATATGAAAATAAAGAATATACTGTATATGATACACAATATATAACCTGCGAGTAGAAAACTTCACTGATTTATAAATGAAAATATAACACTGATTTGTAATATGATATTTGAATAAAGCTTCTCTGACGTTTCATTTTTCTCTGTTTTCGTCGGCTACAAAATAGGCCAAATTACCGCGTATAAAACAAAAAGAAAAAAATTGAGAGAGTACACAGATGGTGCCTGATCCGATACGTGGCTAGTTCGACGTTCTCTTTATCGGTTCTGCCGCTATCTTTAGAAACTGTAATGTCGAAAAGAATTAACTTAAACAAATTTTATTGCCTTATCGGCCTTATCTTATTAAAGTCACGAGACTCGAATGCAAACACCGCGCCGTTTAAAAATGCCATCTTACTACTGGGTAATGAATATTGTTTATTAACATTAAATAACGTTATCCTGAATAAAAAATTAATGTGCATTGAACGTAGCTGATGATGGGGGATTCGAAATGCGATCATACTTGAATAAAATTTGCCAGACACCTAACTTAGACGAATTGGCAAAGGAAAGTTTGTTGTTTAACAATGCGTACACCTCAGTAAGCAGCTGTTCTCCTAGGTATGTTCACTATAAAATTACTTAACATATTTAGAGAATCTATTAAATTATCTATTATATTTAGAGAACTTATTAAATATTTTGTATCTTATTTCCCAGCCGTTCCTCTTTGCTCACTGGTTTACCGTGCCATCAGAATGGAATGTACGGTCTTCATCAAGGAATTCATCATTTTAACTCGTTTGACAACGTTCAAAGTTTGCCAAAGATATTAAAAAATAATAATATACGAACAGGTATACTCTTTTAAGTGAATAATTATAAGAGTTCGATAATCACGAGCGAATACTTTAGGTATTATTGGTAAGAAGCACGTAGGACCGAGCGATGTGTATCCTTTTGATTTCTCACAGACAGAAGAAAATAATTCTATACTACAAGTTGGTCGAAATATTACGAAGATTAAACTCCTGGTCAGAGAGTTCCTCTCTCAAAACAGAACACAGTAGGAATCCCTTGTGCTTAACAAATTGTGACTTGATCAGAAGAAGAGAAATATGATGTTCAATTTTTAGGCCCTTCTTTTTATACATTGGATTTCATGACCCTCACAGATGTGGTCATTCACATCCGGAGTACGGTAACTTTTGTGAAAAATTTGGCAATGGGGACGTTGGTATGGGTACCATTCCTGACTGGCATCCGATATATTATCAATGGGATCAAGTGAAAGTCCCTTATTTCGTACAAAACACAGAAGCAGCTAGACGAGATATTTCTGCTCAGTATACAACTATTTCTCGTCTAGATCAAGGTACTAATACTCAGAAACAGTAGATAAAAAACTCAGGAATTGATGATTTAAACAGTAAAATGTAATGAAACCTACAGGCGTAGGCTTAGTTTTAAAAGAATTGGAAGATGCTGGTTTCAAGGACAACACGTTAGTAATTTATACATCTGACAATGGTATACCATTTCCAAATGGTAGAACGAACTTATACGACCCAGGTAATTAATTCATACTATTTTATATTATTATTATATAATATTCTGTAATTTTCTGAGTGATGTTCAAACTGAGTTTATGATGTTAGGACTAGCAGAACCTATGATGATTAGATCACCAATTCCTGATCATAGAAGAAACAGTGTAACATACAGCTTAACGTCTTTATTGGACATTGTACCAACATTACTGGATTGGTTTAACATACCATACGAAGTGCAAGCTTCGATTGATACGAATGATGTTTCCCCTCCTCCTCTAACTGGAAAGTCGCTTCTTCCTCTCCTCGTTCAAGGTAAATTAAACTATCTAATTTTGATATTGTGCTAGTTTCTAATTACTTCATTGTGCAGAGCCCACGGAAAACAACACAGCTATTTTCGCTAGCCAAACGCATCATGAAGTTACTATGTACTACCCGATGCGAGCTATCAGAACTAAGCAATTCAAGCTCATACACAATATTAACTATAAAATGCCATTCCCGATCGATCAAGACTTCTACGTCTCACCGACTTTTCAGGTAATCTACAAGAACAAATGAATTGTATCAAAACTCACAGCAGATTAATGTGTCATTTTTATTCTGCATCAAGGATCTTTTGAATCGAACTAGAAACGGACAGAGAATTCCATGGTACAAAACTTTAGAAAAATACTACGAGAGACCCGAATGGGAATTGTACGATTTAAGACATGATCCAGAAGAAAGGGTCAATATCGTGTCTAAGCCATCAGCGAAGGTATAAAGATCAAAGCAATTTGAATGCGTCTACAATTCTATAAGCTACGTTTGGATTTTGTTTCAGCAAACACTTGTTGATTTACAAGAGAGATTAAGCGAGTGGCAGAAAATGACCAATGATCCTTGGCTCTGCGCGCCTGGGGGAGTTGTTAACGATATAAGATCTAAAGATCCTCAATGCATGCCGCTTGAAAATCGTGTTTAAACTTTTATAAACGATGTATTGTTATGCTTTTTATATTGTATTATTATATTCCAATAAATTTGACGAATACAACTAGCTCCTTTGTTAAATATACCTACGCTAAACTTGTTTCTAATCAAAAAACAGGTCGCGATACAGAAACGTTCCTGATATCCTTCTCATGATGTTTCGAGAGGATTTCATTTAATTGACGCACGTAAGTAGACGATCTGTTCGCAGTCTTTTCTATAGCCTTCAGCTCAGCTGATATTTCATTCATCTAAAGTATAAACGAATCGATTACAGTTCGTGAATAATAAAATGCTCGCGACGAACATCGTATTCTTTAACAGGCTTACGTATTCCTTGTATCCCAAATATCTGTTGTACTTTTGATTGTTATTATAGATCTGCCTCACTTGTATCATGAATATAAGGCACAAGAAAAAAGCACCGAGTAACACGAGCAAATTTGTAATTTGAAAGCTACGTAAAACGGGCATCACACTTGCGTCGAGATTAAAAACGCGGAGCTCGATTAGCTGAGACGGTGACACGTAAAATCTACCTGGAGAACGCGTTCATGAATACGTATTTAGATTAGAATTCGATGTCATATTACACACGGATGCTTCGCTCGTAAAACTATTACACATTACATCCAGGTTCATCCCAGATAACGATGTAACATGTAACTGTTAATTTAAAATGCTACAGATTATGATAGTATTTTCGACGAACGATAGATGACTCCGCTATTTACTTAATAACATTAATTATTAATTATGACAAACAGATATTTGAAGATCCTTTGAATCATTAATACATGCTTGTAATAAAGAATGTGACTAATTATGAAAATGAGGAAAGATGTGGAAAACGTACTAAAGGAGACTGGAAGAAGACTATCTTTAGCATCTATTTGTTTCATTGATAGGTGGCATAAACGTGACAGCGAAACGCGGTTTGACAGTATGTCAAAGAGCAACACTTGTGCAATTTGTACATTCCAATAATTAGAATAAACTTAGGATAAAGGTGATAAAATGTCGAGTGAAACAGATAATTTCGACGATGATAGCGAGACGCGATTACCTCAAGATCCTAGAGACGATGTGGTTCAAGAGGTACTGAAGACTGGCACGGATTTACGGCAATATTCGAGACAAATCGAAAAAGAATTAAAGGAGGTTGAGAATAAATCTATACAGGATTACATAAAGGAGAGTGAAAATATTGCCAGTCTTCATAATCAAATCGCAGCTTGCGATAATATTCTGGAGGTTAGCCTCTGACACTCCTATATAATCATGTTATTATATTCATAAATTTTACTCTGATTAATTATTAGAACGCTCATTGCGAAGAGATTTCTTAGAAACTTTTACTTTCAGAAAATGGAATCGATGTTGATGAGCTTTCAACAAGACTTAGGTAGCATTAGTTCAGAGATACTGTACCTTCAACGCAAGTCTGTAGCAATGAGTCAACAGCTGTCTAATAGACAAATAATTAGAGGACCCTTGAGCCAGTTCATAGAAGATATGACAGTATCGGAAGCTCTCATCGTGTAAGAATTCAAATAAATTTCAATCTAGGACGTCCGCAAATAAAATTCTAACAATATGTAATCTACAGAGGAATCATGGACTGTCCTGTGACTGAGAAAGAATTTCTAACTCAACTGCAGACACTGAACCACAAAATAAATTTTGTAAAGGAACAAAGTTTTAAAGAGGCAAAGTCATGCTTGGACGTGAAGGATATATTAGAGAAGCTGAAAGTAAAAGCACTTGCTAAAATCAGAACATATCTTCTAGAACAGATCTATAAGTTCAGGAAACCAATGACTAATTATCAAGTGCCACAGAACAATATGTTGAAGTATAAATTCTTCTTCGAATTTATTCTGGCGAATGAAAGGAATGTGGCAGAAGAGATTTGCGGAGAATACATCAGTACGATGAGTAAAATATATTATTCGTACTTTAAATCGTATTCTTCGAGACTAATGAAACTGCAGGTGAAACAATAATCAAGAATTGCACTGCGATGCCAGTATTAATTATATTACATGTGTTGCTAATTCTCTTTATATAGTTTGAAGAAGGAGCTACTAAGGACGATCTAATGGGGTTTGAAGACACAGCAGGAAGAAGCATTTTTCATAAGACTACGTTAAAGCATAGGGGCACAGTGTTCTCCATAGGGAGCAGAGGAGATGTGTTAACGTCTCAGTTAGAAACACCTATCATAGTACCTCATACTGCATCCAAAACGAGAGTGAGTATAGAAATGTTAGAATGTTCGACTATCGATATAATAAAATTTATTTATCTGCAGTACCACTATGAGGCTTTGTTCAGAAGCGAACAGTACGCTCTTGTAGATAACGCATGTAGAGAGTATTTATTCTTAACAGAATTCTTTAAAGTGCGCGGCGCGCAAGCAATGGATATTTTTAATCAGGTGAACAAATGAGGCTAGCGAATATTTTCAAATAAAATTGTTAAGAACAAGATTATAAGATTCCGTATCCGATAATTAGGTAATGAAGAAAACGTTGAATCTCATGGTTAAAAATCTGCAATCCTTCGTGGAAGATTGTTACGATACCATTGCTCTATTCCTCTGCTTGCATTTAGTAATGCGCTACCGTCTAACTTGTCACAAAAGAGCAGTGCCAGCTTTAGACAAATATTGGGACAATATGACGTCTGTAATTTGGCCTAGGTATCAATCAAACACGCTAACACCTTTCTAAATACATATAAATAACTCTCAAATTAAATCTCAACTTTAATTTCTTAGATTCGATTATGTTTTTCAACTAAATATTCAGAGTATTAAACAGTGTGACCCGTTGAAGCTCACACAAGAAACGGGACCCCATTATGTAAGTTTCCGATTATTAAATTTAACGAATTTTCGAAAGTACGGAATAAAATTTATTTGTAGATTACTCGAAGATATGCTGAATTTAGCGCTGCGATGGTTAGCATAGTCGAAGGATTTCCTTGCGAAGGAGCTACTCAGTTATTAGCTGAACTAAGGGAAGCTGTTCAGTGTTTTCTGCTACGAATGGCAGCCACCTTTTCTAGTAGAATTCAACAACTAGTCTTTCTTATTAATAATTACGATTTAGTTCTCGGCGTGTTAATGGTGAGGATATCTCGGTTCGGGTACGTGTAGGTTTGTTCCTTACTTTATATTTTTGTTTTGTATCTTTTAGGAAAGAACGCGGGATAATTCGAAGGAAGCCGAGAGTTTCCGAGATCAACTGAATGCGCGATCTTCGGAATACGTCGAGGAAATTCTGAGTCCACACTTTGGTGGTATGATACAGTTCGTAAAGGAATCCGAAGTAATGATCGAGAAGGGACAAACCGAGGATTCGAAAAGACAGGAGGGGAAGGCGTTGGCTCTGGTGCAATCTTTTACCAATAATTGGAAACAGGCGTTAGAAGAGATTAATCAAGAAGTATTAAAATCGTTTCCTAGTTTGGTACTCGGCACGGCACTGGTGCAACGTGCAATGACGCAGTTAGTGCAATACTATCACAGATTTCATAAAATCTTACCACCAAACGCCCGTACACAATTGACCAATTTTCATCATATAATGGTCGAGATGAAGAAATATAAAGCGACTTATTAAAAGGCGAAGGGATTTAGTTACGAGCTGGAATAGTACTAATGATAATTAAGTCTAGTTAATATAAATTGTAAATATTATATATGGAAAAGTAATTTACATCTTATTTATAAATTATCTTTGCAAAAATTAAAAATAATTTTATTCTGAATACGAAGGCGTAATTTTTATTTGATGGCCTAGAAGATAATTTTTAATGTAATGGAACTTACACGATATTAATAAAAGATAGTATTTATGAAAAAATTGTACTGTACATCTATGTATAAAACAATACTAATGGTACCGTCACAGACCAGGTACACGAGAAGACCAATCAACCACTGTATTTTTATATTCTACCTTCTGGAGAACATTGTGGAATTAAAATGTGTTATTGTTTAGACGTTTAGGTTTTGAGAAATAACCCTGTACCCTTTTCTTACCAAAATGGCATCGAAATCGCTTTTAAGAATGTTCCAAATTTAAATACAGTAATGTATTGAAACAATGGAAAAGTTCTGATTAATAAATGAATGGAAATAAATCTTGGCATTTTTAATTCACAATCCTTGACCAAATGACCAATCCTAGGAGTGACTACTTGAAAACAGTGTTCGAGCCGAGTTCATAAAAGTCCAATGAATGAGAGACGAAGCTAAACTGACTTCCTACAACCACAACCTCTCTTATTCTTCAATATTACTTTATCCGTTCTTTATTGCATGTTTTACTTCAATCAATTCAATACTCTATATTCCTATCCCTATAGACTCAGATTTTAAGATGATATCCGAACTACCAAGATACTACGATTTAATTAAAATTACTTTTAAATGGTGCCTGTCTGAATTGACGCGCTGAGGGTCCATCGATCACTATATACGAACAGAGAACCTTCAAATCACTCTTAATTTTTCGAACGCGAGAGAAGATGATAGGCCTATTCGTAAATCTCGTCTGTGATCTTATGTTACCATCCTATACAATTACAATATCGATACGATCGACCAACACACATCTACACATTATATAAATTATTATTATTCTGTGTGTACACTATCAAATTCTTAGTGCATCTTTGCAACTATGGCAAACCGTAACGTTTTATTATCCTCTAACTTATTCATACGCAGAGACTCTCTCTTTATACCAATTTTAATTTAGAGAACGACAGAAAAAATAATTTATAAAATAATTACCTTTCCTTTCAACAAATTCGTATTGTCACTCTTGAACTAAAATAATTTTTGGGATCAGGATTATTATGCGAGAGGCATAGATTTTAAAAACGATCTATGGTTCTTTTATAGCACACCGTCAATCGCGTGCAGAACACCATTTGTTGCAGGTACATTATGCGTTACGACATACGCTTCGTTCACTCGTACTCGACCTGAAACAAGCCCAACAAATTTTGCATTGCAAAATATCCTTCCCTTGGAATCCGGTTTCGTAATTAATTATTCAATCAAAATGAAGACAATTAATTCTAACTTTTAAATAAATACATCCTTGTATATTAAATACCTCCATTCTTGTGAACATGAACTGGCGATTGGGGACGAAGAGTGTCCTTCTGCAAATAATATCTCATTCCAGCTGTGTAAAGGGTCGACGGGATTATGTGTTTCGAAATGATAGTTTTCGCAGCTTCTGCCCCGTCGTCTTCCGTCCAAACCGGTGCACCATCCTTCGCGGCTGCTTCGAAAGCGGAGTCCGTCGGAGCGAACACGGTGAAAGTTTTTGGTCCTACATAAATAACTTCGTTATTATCACCAATTGAAAGCGTGAACTCTCGCTTTAACGTGAACGGAAGTTGCGCTTGATACGAATTAACATATTTCTATGAAATGGTATCCGCGAGAATGAATTATGTAATTCTCATTAGTAAGATTATTCTTAGTTATGCACCTGATAGACTGTCTTGAAGACCGGAGGCGAAAAGCATTTTTAGGAAAGTAGTGAATCTCCTCTCGCGGTCGGCCTGCATCGTCTGGACTAAGTCGCCAACCGGAAGCGGGAACATTACCCTGTCCACGGCATGGGCTACACCCTGTGGTATCTCGATGTCCCGTTTATTCGAGGCCACCCTTGCGCCATTTATCGTAGTCACCTGATATCATCAGGATAAGCCAATAATTCGAGATCCCATGAATAATTGATTGCGATAGAAATATGTGCAATTACTTTTACATCGTTCCACTCATGATCGTGCATCGCGTACTCGTTCACTCTTAACTGTGTTCCGGCCAAGCTGATACCAGTCATTTCGTCTTGCAACGAATCGATCCTGAAGGCTCCAGGAATCACATGATGCAGCAAGAGCTAATTATACAAAGTACATCGATAATTCGTTCAGATAAATAAATTATTGGAAGACATGGTTTTATAAATAAGACATACCCCGCTAAGAAGTCGAGGATTGTCCCTAAATTTCTGTTCCGCTTTTTCTGGACCACCGAGTTGTACCAAAAGCGTTCGGAAGGCCTTATCCGTTGGTACGAAAATCGTATACGGTCCTGTCACATTGAACGAGCATTTATTTAACTCGATTACCATAGATTAATAAAAGGAATAAATTAATCACTCGGCTTAATGCATTGCGAGAGCGAATGCATCTTTCCCAATCGCAAGATAATTATCATCCGGTTTGTAATCCGACACGAAGGAGCACTTCGTTACGCTTCTTTGATTTTTAATCGACGGAAGTACACTATTTTTCCTAAGGTCTAACGCGCCGATAATGGGGTGTTAGCAGCGATCAACTAGACGTCGCCTGATTCCGCAATATTTCCTTAAGGATGTATTGGCTATACAGTCAATCCCAAAAGTTTATGCACTTTAGAAACGCATTTTTTAAAAAGAAATCAGACGTCGGACGAATATTGCTA